TTGGCTTCCTCCTGGGCAATAGTAGTCTTAAAAATCAGAGATTTGATGTGCTAATTGTATTTTTCTAGTACTCGTGAAAATAAATACATAATAATTAACATTTTTTAAAATGCTTGCGCATCACCTAAATGCTAGCTCCACTTGGGGAAATCCTGTGTTAGTGTTACCTCTCCCAGGGAACATCGTTTCACTTTCAGATCTGAGTCCTGGGGAACTGGGCATATGATGAGGGTTGCCCTGGGCAACCATGAGGAAAATCTGGGCCAGGGTAGGGTAGGTACTGAAAATGGTAAGACAAAAGTTGACAAGGAAGAGAGAAGGAAGAAAAAGCTGACAGCCCTAGAGACAGCCACAGCACTCACCAAAGCACCACGCTCGGTAAGACCACTGGTTTGTGACATTCTGGGAAATAAACACCTTCCAAATATTCCTCGGGTACGTACCTGAGTTTACTGTCACGAGCACACCCTGACCTTTGAATCTCATAGATAGCAAATGACCTGAGTTGTGGCTCCCTTCTGGAAAATAATAAGAATGTGACCCCAACTGAGTGATTTGGTTTTGCTCTGTCTACAAACCCACATGCCCACAGGGGCCAGGGAGACCATGAGTGAAATGGGCCTGGTATCAAAAAAGCCACGTTGCAAGCAGGATGAGAAATGGCCACTAATGCTTGACCTCATTAAGGGGCAGGCAAGAGGGAATAGTGGGGACTGTGGAGAACTGGAGAGCAGGCATCAGCTTTGCTTCAGTGCCAGACAATTGCTTCATGCCCAGATAGGTACTCACTTTGGCCAGATGTTCAGATTTTTTAAGGTAAGCTAGAAAAAGATATTGTTATGTGCATGCTGTTAATTTTTTTTCTATTTTTTGGCCATGCTGCGTGGCACACAGGATCTTAGTTCCCTGACTAGGGATCGAACCCGTGCCCCCTGCAGTGGAAGCGCAGTGTCTTAACCACTGGACTGCCAGCCCCATGCTCTTAATTTTTAAGTGTTGACAATCCGAATCAAATGAACAAAACTCTCTAGCAAACACTATGTGGATCAAATTTGGTCCAGCGGCATCCAGTTGTAGCCTCTGTGTTTGGACCGTGAATGCAGGGACCACAGCTTACTTCCCTCTGGAGAGAAAACTTTACACATCTGTCCTCATAGACCCAATAGCACCTGTGGGGGGAGGGGGGGCTGGTAATCCCCAGGGTGCAGAGGCAGTGATATGGCACTGCAATTAGGACAACAGGCCCCAGTGCCTGGGTTCCTCAGCTGTGTGACCTTGGGCAAGTTACTTCATCTCTCTGTGCCCCAGTTTCTTCATCTATAAAGCAGTTCAAAGATAATGGTAGAGTGTTGGGAGGGGAAGTTAAATGAGACTATATGTGTCCCCCACCAGGCACATATAACAGTAAACATTAAAAAAAACATTGGCTCTTGATAAGTGACTTGCCTGAGGTCACACGGCTCTTATACGAAAAGCCCAGGTTGGCTGACTCCAAAACATGCTCTTTCTACCAGACCACACGTCTCCCTGTCACATGAACAGCAAATTACATCATGTGCAAACCCCTGGCTAGTTTAACATTATGCCCAAATAAAACTCCCTAGCAAGTTACTCTGACACATTTAGTGACATACAGCCTGGGAATTCAGCTCAGGTGAAAGCTCTGTGGAGCCACGGGAAGAGCTCAGAGCATGAAGCCACACAGGCCTGGATCCAGACCCAGGCCACAAGGACCTCCCCTCTCTAAGCCTCAGTATCCCCCTCTGAGAAATGGGTGTAATGGTTATACTAGCTACCCCACTGAGCTGCAGGGAGGTCTCAAATAACATGAAGGCAAACTTCAGAAACTGAGAAATACCTCACAACCGCTAGCATGGTAGCTGATGTCTATAATTATTTAACTATCACATGGTAACAGAGTAAGCATTTCTGGGTTTGGCTGGACAAGGCCAGGCTTCAGCAGAGGAGCCCAAGAAGTGGCTCTGGGCACTCCTGGACCAAGGGTTGGAGGGAAACTCAGGAGACGTCTACGTCCATTGCCAGGAGGTTGAGAAATCAAATTGGATGGGAATCAGGGTGGGGAAAAATTACTTCTCCTCAGTAAAGAATAGAGGAGCTTAGGTCTCTGACTTCCAAATGGGGAATACAGAGTAGTCACCCAGCCATTGTTATTTAGTAAATTAATTAACTGCCAAGGAAGAAAGTGTGGAAATAAAAGACTAAAATAGATATGCCATTGAAAAAATCAATATCTAAAAATAGTGTGCTTAAGATGTGTGCATTTATTGTATGTTCAAAAAAACTGTAAGCCAAGAGTGAGCGCTGGTTAACAACACACATGCTGAAGTATACTAGGTTTGTGTACTGATCTCTGAAGCTTACTGTGAAATGCAGCCCAAAATTATTGATGGATGTAGAAGGAAGGGCTAGACGGAGAATACATGATCAAAACAAGTAGAGTAAAATATTAATGCATATAGAATCTAAGTAGTAGGTATACAAGTGCTGCCTCTAAAATTCCTTCAACTCTGCATTGTTTGAAAATCTTTTATAAAAAGATTTTCAAAAAGTAGTTTAGATGACAAGAAGAAATAGTTACACTCTAATGATAAGCGGGAAAAGCAAACTACGTGACTTCAATTATATAACAGCTCCTCTACCACCATGATGGGACTTCAGGCATTTTAGAAAAGACTCCCTTTTGAAAAAAAGGAGAAAAACATCTCGGCTGAAGTATTATCATTGGAGATTCATCTGCAGCTCAAAGGCTTCTGACCTTCCAGAATCCTCTTTTTATGTTTAGGGAGTCCTTAAAGAAAATATTCCTTAAGTTATCGACCTACATCTAAGAGGGAGAGAAATTGACAACCAGCTGAGAGTGAAATCGATTTGGGGAGTAGCCAGGTAAGAGGCGACCCCTACAGAGATGGGAGCAAATGGGGTCCGGTGAGTACAAACCACTCTGTGGAACATGGTCTTCTCCTGGCTGCATCAGAACATTTGCCATATTATGTCTTACAAACAGAGAAACTGAGGCACAAAGATGAAAGGGAACCTACCTCGGGTCACAGAATACTTCATAAATATGAAAGCTGACAGCAGCATCTTCACCATCTCAGCCACGGGGTCTGCTTTACCCAGTGCACCTGCCCTAGAGAACAGGAAGTCGGAAGCCAGGAGCCGATGTGCTCAGGTGAGGTGGAGAAACCGTCACCAGAACTGCATGCATGGGCCTCCTCGGGGGCACCCATTTCATCCCACTACTTCCAGGTGGGCAAGCACCACTCTGATTCTCTGCCATTGCTCTCCAGGTGTCGGGGGAAGAAAGAACAAAGCTAGGCATACTCCATCATTTTCGTCCACCACCAATCCTAAGGCAAATCTTTCTGCCACCATATTCACCTGTCACCTTCCTGAGGAAGAAACCTGCAGGCGTGGTGGCATCGTGGGAGGGCAGGGGAGGGACAACTGTTTTCTGAGCAGGTCTGACCCCTGAGTGAGATGACCAGAGCCTCTCCACATGACCCGCTGAAGACACTCCGATGAGAAGTCAGCTTGGAGACCTCAGTTCCTGAAAATGCTAGTCGAACCGCCTCTTAACTTGGCTAGTCACTCAAGCATAGAATTACTCAGAACATCTTCGCCCATTAAACTGCCCCCATTTTTTTTTTCTTTACAAAATCTGGCTGCTCTTCCCAAAATGTTTTGACTGGAAATTTTTGAAATGCCTTGAATATATTTATACGCAGTTCTTTGAAACAAGGGTGATTTCAACCACCGCTTTGCTCAGAGAGCTTGCCCTACTCTGCACTGCAGTGTGGAGCGAAGGCCTGGAGTCAGAGCCTCACAAGTCATAAAGCTCGAACTACAGTAACGCCATCCGGAGGCCAGAGACACAAAGCAAGCATGTCACTCACCTCTGACCGATGGCAGGGGCCTCTGGAGACTGGGTTCAATCTAAGAAAATAACCACTGAGGCAGAAGAGGTGAAAGGAGCTGCACTGGGGGACAACTAAGAATCTCTCCAATGAAAGTTCAGCATCATCCCATTGACAAAGCATTTATTGAGCATCTACTATGTTGGAGATTCAACCAGAGAGCAAGAGAAGGTGTGCATAACCAGAGCCATGCTGGGTGGTAGAGAAGACCATATGACTCTATGGGGACTGGAGAGCCCAGGTGCAAAGCAGAAAGGAGGTCAGTTTGGGCTGCAAATTATAACCAGGACAAGCCCACTTTGCAGCCCAGTTCACAAGCCTCCCTTCCGGGGTCCTCACAGTGGCTATATGACAGCTTCCCACAATCCATTTTGCTCACCTGAGGTTATCACCTCCCTGAGAAACCTTCTGTCCTGACCACTCCAAGACACTCAGCATCCACACCCCTAACTCAGCAAACACCACTTTGGGTTCTTCCCAAGAATTCCGCCAGTTTGCCAGCTGCATGGACATCTGTGGGACCCTTTTAGAAAAGATGTCCCCAAATCTCTTGATCATGACACTATGTCCAGTTGGCCCACTCTTCTCCACAGAGCAGGGAAGAGGCCAGCTTGCAAGAGGTGGTTTCGCTTAGCCCGGCCTCTCTACCACCTAAGATGTGAGCTGTGATTCTCTGGAGTCTGGGAAGGATGTATTTGGACTTCTTGGAACACAGCAGGCTCCCTGGCTTCTTGAACTTAATGAGGAGTGAGACGCTTTGCTTTGATGTCTGCCCCAAGCCATAGAAGATCAAAATACTCTGGATCTGTATTTACGTAGGTAGCTCCATCTTTAGGCAATATTGCACAGAGGGCCTTAACCAGTGTTGGCACCTCCCAGGTGCCAACTACTCCCAGGTGTAGTATCCCTCCGCTGCCCACACCCAGCCTTGTAAGTCTGTGCCTTGGCTCCTCAGCCCCAAAGCAGGACATTAAAGGCTTATTGAGCTGCATCTTTAATAATATTTTTTTTAATGTTTAAGAACCGCCATAAAAATCCATTGGATGGCATTTTTTTTTCCACTTTGGCAAAACTAGAGTCATAGTCTATGTTATTACAAACTCAACCACAAGAGAAGAAAGTCATCCAGTCACAATTTAGAAAATCACATTCCATTAGCACTGGAAGGGCATAATAGCCGAGCAGAGATGTGTCCAGTCACATCTGTCTTTTTCCATAGACACTTCTCCCCCCAGGCCACTATTGAGCAACTTGTCCCCTTTCCAAGCAGCCTCTACGTGCTGGAGACTGACCTGAAGTGATTCTCTGTTTTCTCAAACCTACAGACAGAGAGGCCTTAGACTTAACATAATTTGAGAAACCCCAAAGGAAGACCCCTTGACACTCCCCCACCCCGCTCTGCCAATGTAGAGATTTGTTGGAGGCTCTATTAACGCCAAAAAGTCCCTTATAAATGTAAGCTGCTCCTGGAAGAGATAATGCATTAAAACACATAGCCATTCACACTTTAGTATGACGTTTTCTGATAATAGCTATTATTTATTGAGCATCTAATCTGGGCCAGGCACTGAAGCAGGCCCTTTAGACAGTCACTTTATCACATTTGGAAGGAATTAAACTTTGTAAAATTTTGGTGAGGGAAAGTTTGGACATGTCTGATTAGCAAGTGGTTAGGATGGGGATGTTAAGTATATGGACATGATTGACACCACATAGAGAGATAGAAGGCCAAGGGGGAAGTCATGAACTTTAATGGAGAACTCAAGATAGGCTTCACAGAGGTGGTGTTTCACTGGGGTTTTGAAGGATAAGAAGCAGTTCATCAGGTAGCCAAGGTGAAGAAGGGAATTCTTGTAGAGGGAATAAACATGGGAAAAGCGGTACCGGTATATAAAATAATATTATCTCTCTATCTATCTATCTATCTATCTATCTATCTCTGTCTGAGTTCCAGCAGGAACACTCAAATAAGAGAATTCAAGAAGGATTTAGCAAACAGACTATTGACAAAAGTGTGGACAAGATACAGAAAAACCACAAAAGGTAGTGCGGGATTCCAGGTGCTGTACCACCCCTGGACCCAAAAGGATGAAAGAAGGCAGCAGTTACCCAGATGCAGAAAGAGAAAACTATGTAGAGAAGGCCACCTTAAGAGGATGCGAGACTTCCAAGTCACGCAGCCAGCCTGAGATGACCTCACAGGGAGGGAGCCAGGGGAATAAATCCCTCCACCTCTGTCTCCCCTGCCCCTACCCCCAGAGCTCCTGTGGTGCTCCCCATAGGCCCACACCAGCGGGAAGCCAGAGGGCGAGGCAGGGGAGCCTGGATGATGCACCCCTAGTGAGCTGACTCCTGGGGCTCAGAGCTGGGCAGAGCCGGGTGCAGGGGGCTCTGGGGTGTGGACAACTAGAAAGCACCCAAAAGAATGTATGAGATGTGGCTGGAACATGGAGTATCGGGGGTGGAGGGGGGCGTGATAGAGGGACACAGAGCAGAAATGCGACTGCAGTGGAGCCTGTCTGTCAGGCTAAGAGTAAGCGGGAACCACGGACCTGACGTGGACATAGAGACCCTGGCCACCGCTGGGCCCTGGGAACAGGCGTCAATCAGGAGGCACCTGGCAGCCAATGACTCCTGAGCTGAGCCAACAGCTTCCTGAGCTTCCCAGGCTGCCCTCTGGAAGCGACCCCAACCAGCCTTGTCTCTTGGAGCCCGTGACACCGCAAACCAGAGCCTGGGAACACAGAGGGGTGCCGGCTGCCAGTGGCTACCGAGAGCGCAGCCCGTAACATCTTGGACCAGTTAAAACTAGTCTATCTCTTTTATTTATATTCCATTCCACCTTTTCCCCCTCCTCATGTGGAAAGAGAGCCCGGGGATCAGGAGCTCAGAGGAGCAGGTTTCCCAGAAAGACAAGAAATGCCTGTCCACTTCCCCCAAGGAACAGCTCCAGGCGGCCAGCCGGGAAGCCCGGTCAGTCCTGCCCTGTCAGGCCTCAGAAAACAGACGAGTGCCAGCCCCTCTCATCTGGGAAACATTAAAAGCAAACTCTGAAGTGATTCACTAAAAGTCCTCCAGTGGCAGAAGACCATCACCCAGATGTGAACATAAACACAGAGGGAAATTCCAGCATCAGAATGGTTTCAGGTCTTTAAACAAATGCGTGGCTATTTCAGGGAAGGGAAGAGTCTTTTGACTGTCTTTCCAAGCCCCCAGAATCCGAGTCAGACTCTCTCCATCCAGCAGGCCAGGCAAATTCCTACAATGCCAAACACAGAAAACTGTGAAAACACTCACTTGACTCCCTGGGGCCCTGCCCACTTGAAATTCCCAGCATCCCACCAGCCAAGGCCAGTCACCCAAGCTTACCAAGCTTCTGGTGGTGCAGCCTTCAGCTCAGCCTTTGTAAAGCACCGGAAATTAAAGCCGAAGCAATTGGTCCATTCTGCTCTGAAAAAAAAATCAGCATAGAAAATAAATGGAGAGTAAATCAGTATCAGGCAAAACTGAGAGTGTGTATACACCGATAAAACATAGTAAAAACGAAAGAAAATAGAAGTACATTGGGGCACAGATCACATGTTATCATGTCTATTGTCTGGCAGAGTGAGTGGCACATGGTAGGTGCCTGATAAACATGTCAGGAAAGAGAGAAGGAAGGAAGGAAGGAAGGAAGGAAGGAAGGAAGGAAGGAAGGAAGGAAGGAAGGAAGGGGGGAGGGAGGGAGGGAGGGAAGGAGGGAAGGAAGGGAGGGAGGGAGGGAAGGGAGGGAAGGGAGGGAGGGAAAGAAGGAAGCCCACGTGCAAAGATAATTAAAGAGGTAATACTACAGTTTAAAAGTGTAACAGATTCAGCATTGTTTAATTATTACACTTCATAATTCACATACATAATGTATATGTACCATACATAACATGATAATACAACTTATAGTTCTTAGTAATACAGGCAAGAAAAGCAAAAATAGATAAATAAGACTATATCAAACTTAAAAACATTTATACATCAAAGGATATAATCAACAGAGTCAAAAGGCAACCTAGGGATGGAAGAATATATTTGCAAATCATATATCTAATGAGAGTTAATACCCAGAATATATAAAGAACTCTTACAACTCAACAAAAAAATCAAATAAGTCGATTAAAAAATGGGCAAAGGACTTGAATAGATATTCTGCAATAATATGCAAATGGAAAACAAGGACATGAAAAGATATTAACACCACTAATTATCAGAGAAATGCAAATCAAAATCATAAGATATCACCTCACACCCATGAGGATGGTATTATTTGTTAAAATAATATATGTGTATGTATAACTAAATCACTTTGCTGTACACCTGAAACTAACATAACATTGTTAATCAACTATGCTCCAATATAAAATAAAAATTAAAAAAATAAAGTGTATACAAGTCATGTTTATCATTAAAAACAAAACAAAACAAAACCCTCCCTATTTCTTCCTCCAGCCTGGGGCAACCACCAGTCTCCTTTCTGTCTCTAAGAATCTGATTACTCTAAGTGCCTCATATAAGTGGAATCATACAGTATTTGCCCTTTGGTGTCTGGCTTATTTCACGTAGCATAATGTCTTCAAGGTCCATCCATATTGTGGCATGTATCAGAATGCCCTTCCCTTTTAAGGCTGAATAATATTCCATTGTATGTATATACCGCATTTTGCTTATCCATTCATCCATTGATAGACACTTGGGCTACTTCCACCTCTTGGCTAATGAGAATAATGCTGCTACGAACATGACTGTGCAAGTATCTTTTGGAGTCCCAGCTTTTGATTCTTTGGGGTATATACCACTGGGATTTCTTTTCAGTGATGAAATTTCCTCTGAAAGCTGGAGGGTGGGGCGGGGAGAACCCAGCATTTGCTGAGACTGGGTAAACGATCTAGCTGTCAGATGGTGGAGAGCATAGCACTTGTGAACTTACTCATATTTAGATTAGACTTCTAACTCTACCGTGATTACAGACAATTATGAATCTGTGGAAACCCCACTCGTCATCACAGCCAGCTGCACATTCCCAGGGAAGATCAGTGCAAAGGGGAGAGTTTGGAAGCCTGAGAGACCTGGGTTCAAATCTCAGGAGAAGCCCTTATTAGCTATATGGCTCGAGCAGGCCAGAGACCCAATACCCAAAACATGAAGGTGATAAAACGCTCTTCACATAGTTGACGTGAAGACTAGTGAGAAAGTATACACAGTGCTGGTGTGTTGTAAGCGCTCAATAAACACTGTGTTTCCTCCACTCTGCGGTACCTCCCCCTTTTTTTCAATGTCACGTTCTACAATTACATTTCCGAATTCAGGGTGTGCTTTACCAGATACCAGCTTTATCATTGCCTGTGAATGGAGTGAACTCAGCCAAACTGCTCTGGAGAAATCACAGAATTTTCCCAAGAAGAAGCTGGTGTAAAAGACCCCAAGGTGAGAATGCCCAGCACTCAGGGCTGGCATGTTCACCTGTCAAAGGTCCCTGTTCACCTCAGATGAAAGCAGGTTTCCAAAGAGTAAGTCCTCGGCCAGTGTTATGTAGCAAAACTGTGAATCACGTGACTGAGGAACAGACCCAACAGTGGAGCAAAAGGGTTGAGGATGAAGGTCCTGGAATTAGCAGTCCTGGGTGTGACCTTAAGAAAGTCACTTCATTTCTCCAAACCTCAGCTTCCTCATCTGTAAAATGGAGCCAATAATAGTGTGCCTCCCAGGGTGGCTGTGAGGAGTAAGAGGTGGGTAGCGTTGTAACGTGCATGGCACAGAGCCCACACTGGGCAGCTGTGGAGCCCAGGTGAGATGAGCCAGGTCCCCTCTCCCCTCACTCCTCAGGCATTTCTGCAGGAGAGGGGGTTTAATGGGAAGTGTGCACTGTGCCCTGCCCCTTCTCCAAACTGTACCATCAGCACCCTCCACATTTTCTTTCATCACCCTTAAGGCCTTGATCATAAAGTTTACGAGACGTAAACAGTATCTCATCTACCCGTCCTTCCATCCATCCACCCACCCATCCATCCATCCATCCACTCATCCATCCATCCACCCATCCATTCATCCATGTACTCAAGAAGTAAACAGTAGCTCATCTACCCGTCCATCCATCCATTCATTCATCCATCCATCCATCCACCCACCCATCCATCCATCCACCCACCCATCCATCCACCCATTCATCCATGTACTCATCCAACAGTTATTGAGTGCCTGCCCTATGCCAAGCCTGACATAGCCATTGGGAACCAAAAGATGAATAGAACAGGCCTCTACTCTACAGGAAATCACAGTGGAAGTGGGGGAGGAAAAAAGAGTAACGACAAGAACAGCAAACACTTATTTAGGGCTACATGCTAGGCGCGGCTTCAAGTGCCTTTGCATAATACATTTAATTCTCCCAACAGGCCTATGATTTTTAATAAAGCTGGTAAGTAGCGGAGCTGGAATTTGAACTTGAGCCCTCTGGCTGCAGAGTCCATGCTTCCAACTAGACTGAGAGTCAAAAAACTTTAACATCAGGTCTGGTACAGACACCCACACATCAGGACAAATGTCAGTGATTTTGCGATGCTCTCAAATGCCAGTCAAAACCAAGCCAGCTCTCCTTCAACTGCTTTTAACCTGTAGACTGTAGGACCCTAACACTAATGGAGTCTTGGGCAGAGGTCACGGGATCGGACTTGGGGGTGTGAAGGAGGGTGTCCAACAGCTCCCCAGAATCAGCGGGCAGCCAAGTGCTTGTGGTGCTTGAACGCCCTGAAGGTTGATGAGTGGTGAACACGTAAATTACACTCCATCCCTCACGAGTCACTGAGCGCTATTCTCACACACATCGGCTCATTTAACCTTCAAGAGAGCCCTGTGAAGGAGATCTAATTGCTGTCCCAACTTCACAAAGGAGCAACCTGAGGCTCAGTGTCCCCGAGCGGGGGACACCCAGCACACCTGTCGAAGGCCCTTGTTCAGCTCAGATGAAAGAATTATTTCCAAAAAGAACATCTTTGGCCCAATTCTACATGCTTGCCAGAAGCAAAGGAGTTGGACCTGCATTCAGTTTCTTTGCCTCCCACCAATAACCAGCCAGATGTCAGGGGGTCCCTTCCTTTATTCTCTGCCCTGCTGTCCCCTCCTCAAGGCGCCACTCTCCTAGGTGTCATGCCCATAAGGGGCCCTTTTAGATGACACCCCACAGCCTCACTCCGGGTCTTTCTTGCTCAGCCACTGCCTCACACATATGCATACTCCCCTATTTCCAAACCGAATCAGTACCAGGCTCAGTGCATTTTGTCAAGTATCTTGAAATACTGTAAACTCATTCATGTGACGGTATTGATGAATGATAACAGGTGTGGTTTTTAAAGGGGGCCTTCTATTTGGATAGTATAGTAACACACTGGAATGGATCATTATAGGAGTTTCCAGTATCCTGGAAACTTAATATGCCTCATCATATACAGAATATTACCTGAGGATGACATTCATTCATTCATTTCTTCATTTCGTGTCCCAGCCAACATTTACTGAGTGCCTTGTACCTGCCAGGAAATGTCATGTGTGCTGAGGACACAACAGTGAGCGAGACAGTCGAGGTCCCTGGTCTCAGAAAATCCACTGTGTAGCTGAGGAGACGGAGCTGTAAGCAAAGACCTCGCCAAGGAGTTTTCATTCTCATTCTGAGGATTATAATAAAGGGTGGAAGCTCATGCAGGGATCAAGGTAGTCAGGAAGGCCTGCTGGGGAAGCTGGTCTCTGCTGGGCACTGGTGAGTGACCGGGAGCTCACCAGGCAGAAGAGGGCATATGCAAGCACTCTGGTACCTGCAACTGTGCAGAGTCTGAAACGGCACAAGCAAGGCCGGCCCTGGGCCCACTCATTTCATGAGGCCCTTAAAAGGGGCTGAAGCTCACCACAGCCAAGGCATTTGTGCCAAGCAGTAGGTAAAAGCAACAGGCCAGGGTGTCCTTGGGACTGAGTAGATGGCAGCAGTATGTCCCTCCCTTTGGAATGTTAGAAATAGAGTCTGTGTTCCTGGGGTTCTCGGTTCCCTGTGAAATTGCCCAAGTTGATGATCGTGACAACACAGGAGGCAAATCGGTTGTCTCTGCACACAATCTGCGGTGTCTCCCTGACCCTGGCATATCCAAGGAGCTGTCTGAATATTCAGCTGCCCTTTCCCCTGCCTGTCAAGGGAAAGAAAGGCTTCGGCATTAACCGTGACAATGACGGGTGACCTGAGAGTTTTCTTTGACCTGCCACCTAAGGTAAGTGGCGTTTTGCAAAGATCCCAAGACTTTGCTTTTAATTCAGCTTGAACCCAAGTTTCCCTCCCAGGCACTATCTCCAATGTGCTGGGTTGCCCAGTGAAAAGAATCATAGCCCTTTCCTTTTCTGGCTTTCTCTGATGCAACAAGCCTCCAGCAATCGTCAGAAAAGAGGGC